TGCGCGCTGTCGGGCGGTGCATGCTATTGTGCGGCGCTGCTGGGCGGTGCGTGCTGCATGCTACCGGGTAGTGCATGTTGCGCGCTGTCGGGCGGCGCGTGCTGCTGTGCGGCGCTGCCGAGCGGTGCCTGCTGCTGTGCGGCCTATTGTGCGTGCTGCTGCCTATGACTGCGTCATAGTGCGCCGCCGATCAGTGTGTCCATAACATTGTTTGATTTTAGTGTCTAATAGCATACAAGACACAACTGATGTGGCCATTTGAGAATGGAGCCACCATTGCATATTTCGCCAATCTTGATCAGTTATCCTTCACCAACTTATATTGGTGAGAACAACTGAAAGCTTTATGTTGAACTTTCTCCATAAATTATTAAGTGGCACTATAAGCTTCCTCAAAGTGAGTAATTACTTGGTTTGACTGTGGTTTGTCCAGGATTGCCTCATTTAAATTGTTCACGTTCTAAGAACATCATCCATGCCTTAATTATCACAATGCATTCTAAGAACATATATATATATATATATATATATAAAGCAAAAAAATAAATAAATAATGAAACTCTTGTTTTCATTTAGTACAAGAGTGATGCCACTCTTGTATTTAATATGCATTTAATTACTTAGAGGAATAGATGGTAGAGAGAAAGCAAACAGTACTAGTGCAATTCTTGTTTATTTAGAGCAAGCCAAATTCCACCACCAACAACAGGGAAGAGATTATTAAACTACTCAATTACAATTGTAGATACAGACACAGCGCAAGGGATTAAATCCACTGCCATTGCAAAGACCATTGCCATTGTACTTCTGGGAGCACCACTGCCGGCATGAGGCCAGATCACACCCACTCCCATTCCGAACAGCTTGACATACGGCAGCATCCGAACTGGGCACTATTGATGCAACTGCAACAACCATTATTTATACAATAAGCAAATGAATATTAAAAAAAAAAAGGTGGGGTGGGGGAATCACACCAAATCTGTATCTATTGCACCAGGATTCCCATTGTCACTCATATTGGCTTCATGTATAGCAGAGAAGGCAGCCTCTATAAATTCTAGGAATATAGAGCCTCAAATAATAAACACAAATTTACATATCAATACTAAAACAAAAGAAAGAATAACAAATATTGGAATGTCGAAAGTTGCACTATGTGATGTTATGTGGTGCACTGTGATGTGACCATGGCTGCAATGCAGTGTGGGAGAAATGTAGCTTGCAACTGCACAAATAGCATGTCTGCTTTGGATGTTGGTACACAAAAATGTGTTCATGTATATAGAAATGATCATAAACAGACGGGTAAAGAGAGATAAACAAATGAAACTGAGGAAAGTTTAAGAAACCTGAAAGGACCAAGAGGACAAAGAAGAAACTGCAGAAAATCTTAGCCATCTTTGTGTCAACTTAGGCAAATTTGCAGAGTGTGTCCTATTGTGCAAGCAAAATTGTGTATCTTCAGGATATGGAAATGATAATGAGTTGCAGGGGTATTTATAGAGTTGTGGGTCTGTAGATTTATTCATAAATAGCATTCTAAGGTGCATGAATCAACCAGGAAAAAAAAGCTGTTGAATAGTTAAGGCCTTAATCTAGGTTTTGGATTGCTAACAAAATCAGTTTTGAGTAGAATAGTTTGCTTTTAGTTGGGCAAAAGGTCAGCTCAAATTTTTTTTGTTTGTTCCAAGGTCAGCTCAACTATGCATCTCAGTTTTTTAATCCATATTTTTTGGTAGAAAAGTTTCGTAAGCCATGAGATATTAGAACTTGGGAGGGAAATTTTCAAACACATCGAGTCATGAGTATATGTTGTTAGATTGGCACACAAATCAAAGACAGTGTAACTTCAATGGGTGGAACAGCCTTGATGAATGGGGGCCATATGCCCATCTTTTAAAGATACTCTTAACCCATAGAACGATCTGTATCTAATCCTCAACTTGACTGGTCATCAGAAATAGTTCAGTTTATGAATGAGATTTGGTGTTGGAATCCAGTTTTACCTCCATGTTGGTGGGAAGATGGCTAAGTATGTTCTCTATAGAAGCATGAGATAGGGCGGAGCAGTGCCTCTAGTTGGTAATTACCACCCACCCCACAAAAGGAAAGCAAATGACATGGGCTCGAGTAGTCATGTGCTCATTCCAACTTAGTAAACAAGTGGATGGTATCAACTTTTGAAGTACCAAATGGGTCCAGCACATCTTATTAAGAAGCTTGGAACTTGGTTAACAATGAAAGATAAAGCTTAACATGAAGAAATTTTATCCTACAATCCATCAAATTAGGACAACTCAAAACTTATTCCACACTATTGGACTTAATTGTGTCCACTTACCAAGTAATTAGTGGATCCACCTGTTCTCTGTCCTATTAACTAACAAATTATTTGCTAACAAAGTAAGCAAGTAAAGTTTTTCTATACTTTTTGGTTAGGATCAAGCGTACAAGTACTGTAAATGCCATCTCTTAAGAGATAGTAAAGCTGCATATTGCTAAACATGGTGTTTATTTATTCACCATCTTCAAATAATTACTGTGGTCTTGCATTTGGGGCTGTATATTTCTAATCCAGTTTTGGCCTAATATCAAAGGATTGACTTCAATGAGCTGAACTGACCTGAGCCCTACCATCAATTATTGAGCCAGAGGCCAAGCTGAGAAGATCTTGACTCATCTCCATTAGTTTAGGCTCCTAACTTATATGTGAGGAATTTGCATATTGGGATTAGAAGCTTGATCGGGATTCAAAGCCTAAAATAAACTGGCAGGTAGTTACATAGTCTTTCATTGTTTGTGGTTGTCTGTGTAATGGGCCTGAGAATGGTTGTGTTCAGCTCATGCTGGAAAAAACAGCTAGACAAGGATGGTGACCCATTTCTGCTACATATAGTTGCAGCTGCTAGTAGCAACACCATGTTACTTCGAAGTTTGGAAACTTTAGAAAAAAGGACATACCATGTTAACAAGGTCCACCAATCAGACATACTGGAAGAACTATTGTTCTTTATGGATTTTGGGCTATCCCAAATCCATTTTGGAAATCCAAACAGTGGCAGTTATTGCTGCAAATTGTAAGCCAATATGAAATTATGAATATGAGCTAGCTTTCTGTTTTCTTATAATTAGACAACTATTAATGCCTATCCATTGGGGTAGTTTCGTAGCAATATGTATTAAACAACCATGCATGTCAACCAAGAGGGAGTATTTATGCTTAACTGCTCAACCAGCCTATTGACAGCAAATTCAAGAATTAGTTGATGTAGTGATTTAAAAGGCATGCCTAGGCGCACAGTTGACGCTTTTTTGCATTTTTTGAGTCGAGCAAAGCAAGTGAATCAGAGTGGAGTAGAACCCCCTATTTGGCAATATTGTCCATTCATTCATCCTAATAAAATATCTTTTTAAAAAGCAATTAAAGTTATAAAATCATTTTTTTTTTGTGAGAGCTAAGAATTTAAGACCCTAACGTGGACTTGTTTGGGCTTGCCTCGAGAGGCGTGGCACAAAGGTCGCTTGTAGAATCAAGAATGTAATATGTTTTACATCACATTAGCTACTTGAAGTAATGCAATTGAGAAAAAAAGAAATCGTGGGTTATACATGCTTGGAAATGTTTTATATGCTTGATTTTATTTTTAAATTCTCATTTGAATATGCTTTACATGTTATGCTTATG